CTAGTGGAAACCATCTACCAACACTAGTTTTGGGCCATACAAGATGCAAACAAGCTTTTGGGTTGTCCTGTTTTACAGTTGTTCATTGAATTTATTGTCAAAAGCAGTCATATGACTCATTTATACGTATTATAGATTAGGCAATAAGATATATATAATTAATGAACGGAATCTTGATATCTACACTCTTTGCATCACCAACAATATGAAATAAAAGTATTAAAAGGAAAGGTGAACATCTACTTTTTAGTTTCTAACTTAGTTGGCTTGTCTTTTCTTTCCATTTTATTTTAAATGCTGCAATTATTGACTAGACAAGACAACAGCCATGTGGCTTGGGTATGAAAACTATTGTGCATCGAAGAAAGAAAAATCCTTGGATTTTAGCTAGAGAAGAATAAGATGAGGATCACTATGATTAACCCCTTTTTTCCCTCGTCATCTCTGATGCCAAACACGGTTAATCTCGGATATATATTCCATTTTCACAATAGTGACGGGTTACATTATGCGGGGTTTTAAAAGAGTATAAACAAAATGTCAAATTGATTATGGGAGGGGATATCATGGGTATAGAGACGAGAGACGAGGATAATTATCTTTATAGGTATGTTGCTTTTGAGTGAAACCAAAAGTAAAAAATTATGTACAAAATAGATAATATCATATCATTATAGAGATACTTGGGGTACGGGTACCGTTGTCTTTTTTAACACATTATTATTAAGATTGTTTAATATTTGATTAATTTTTGGAGCTTCCGATTTGGCCGTATTACTTAGGTGGTCTTCTTCACCAATTCTGGGACGGAAGCCAACGAGTTAGCTATGATGATAGCTAGGCTTTATACTGGATGCCACGACATAATATCACTAAGGAATGCTTATCATGGAAACGCAGCGGGGACCATGGGGGCCACCGCACAGAGTAACTGGAAATTTAATGTCATACAGGTATCAGTTTCCTGTTTGTCTTTATTTATGTAATTTTATGAATACGATTTCTTTTTTGACACTTGGGAGGGTTGATGGGCAAAATTTGCAGGGTTTTTTTTTTCACAAAAGTGCATTAAGCTGTGCTTTTCGTGCCGCTAGCTTTTGAGTTCTGGGTTATTCTTTTCTTATATCTTCTTTCTGGAAATTATTGCTGCTCCACTTCCAATTTTATAGATATATTTAATGAGGGGCCTTGTTCTATATATTAATATGACCCCTCGATGATTACGATCGCTATTATTTCCCCTTTAAGAAACAAATGGGGTAGTTGTATACAAAAAGTAGCTACAACTCCCAAGATTTTTTTTTTTTCGGATCAATTTCTTCATGCCACTTTGGTTGTATTCAAAATTTGAGAAATACGTGCAATTGTCGTCTGCGCCATATTATCTGTATGTTTAAGATAAGGCATGGGCCACTGTTCAGCATACTTGTTCTTGTTCACTAAGGAGATGAACCTCCGTAAATTTACCAAGCTAGAGAACAACATAGACCAAATATCGTAAGCATAATTATCTAACAAAGATTCCCAATCGTGGAAACAGAGTGGAGTTCATCATGCTTTGAACCCAGATCCATACAGAGGTGTCTTTGGTGCAGATGGAGAAAAGTATGCAAAAGATGTTGAAGACTTGGTTGATTTTGGAACTTCCGGTCAAGTTGCTGCTTTTATATCTGAAGCAATACAGGTAACATTTCTTACTTTCTCAAGTACTTGCAAATGAAATTGATTGGCTCTATTTCTCCATTAAAAACCACAAATTCTACGGCTCAGGGAGTTGGGGGTATTGTTGAATTAGCCCCTGGTTACTTGCCTGCGGTGTATGAGACCATAAAGAAAGCAGGAGGCCTCTGTATTGCCGATGAGGTTCAGTCCGGATTCGCTCGTACTGGAAGCTTCTTCTGGGGGTTCGAGTCCCAAGGTGTTGTTCCTGACATAGTGACAATGGCAAAGGTTAATTTTCTCTCCCAAATCGAGTTAGAATTTAGCTGGACGGATTCATGGGGTTAGTTATTATTTCCTTTGTGTCCTATACAGGGCATTGGCAATGGTATTCCCCTTGGTGCAGTGGTGACCACTCCTGAGATAGCTGAGGTCTTGACTCGTCGCAGTTATTTCAACACTTTTGGTGGCAACCCTGTTTGTACTGCTGCTGGACTGGCGGTTTTGAGAGTGATTGAGAAGGAAAAGCTCCAGGAAAACGCCTTTGTGGTTGGCACCTATCTGAAAGATAAACTCACTGCTTTGAAGGACAAATATGAAAGTAATGTCACTGAACTCTCACTGTGATAACCCAATTAGAGAAAAAATGATTAAACAACTTAAAAACCAATACTTGGAAGAAAATTGTTTGCATAACATCTAATTGCTTGGTTACTGTAATTTCCTATTTGCATCTGTGCAGTTATTGGAGATGTGAGGGGAAGAGGACTGATGCTAGGTGTTGAACTTGTTACTGATCGTGAGCTGAAAACGCCTGCAAAAGCTGAAACTTTGCATGTGATGGACCAAATGAAAGGTTAGCCTTCACATCATAAAGTAATATGCAGGTATTTTTCTTCAGTTCCTGCTTATTGATGAAGTTTTTACTTTGGAATACAGAATTGGGAGTGTTGATTGGGAAAGGTGGATACTATGGAAACGTGTTCAGAATTACTCCTCCCCTCTGCTTCACCAAGGAAGATGCAGGTATTTTGTTAGTCCAATGCCCCATTAATTCATGCTTTTTACGCAGTGATATCATGAAACGGAGTGAGAAATAGAATTAGGAATCGGACATGGGAACCCCTAATTTTCAAACACTAAAACTCTCAAATCGATTTAATTTCAACCACATGGTTTAGATTAGACAAAGATCAAAACTCTCAAGACCAATGAACTCAAAACTCTCAAGACAAAGAACAAGTTCATTGGTTTGACATGCAACTTAAAGAAACATGAACTGTGAAATGATTCGAGAAGCTCTTGGCTAAACTTGAAATAAAAGCTCGAAGGCCAAATTAATTCATCCATACCCTACGGATCAGTTCCCAACCAAACTCTAAATTTCAGATCATAATCATAACTCCCAAAGATTTGGATACCCTACTTGATATATGTCCCAAAAGGATACAAGTTAGAAAGCAATAAAATTACATGAAAATGAGTAAATGATTTGAAGTGTCGAAACTTTTGGGTACAGATTTCCTTGCGGATGCAATGGACTATACATTGTCTAAGATGTGAAGTTTGAGAAGGAAGCATAAGAATAAGCAGTGGCATCTGGTGGTGATCATAAACACAGAGGCAACTGAATTCGTATAGTATCTCTCTCTCTCTCTCTGTTTTATTAAGGCTCTGTGTTTATAAGAAGTATTAATATATAACTTTTGTGTAGATTTGTACTTGGGTTATCTTGGCAAATATGAGTCAACACCTCGTTGTCTCTTCCCTTGAAATTCATGCCCTTTTTTTTCTCTCTCTCTCTCATTTCACCCCCATTGAATTCTTAATATTAAGGTTACATAGAGTAACGTTGTGGATATGGTCCTTTCTCTTTGGAATATTGGATCGTCAAGTTTTATTGTTTCATTTTCCTTTTTTGTCGATCATGAGGACATCTTCAGGTTTGGTTACCGTCGTGCATGAAAAACTCTTCGTTATGTATTTTCATGCACTTTGTTGATAATTTAGGTGTCGGTTGATGACCATTTTGTTTTTTAAAACTAATTCTACGCGTGTATTATGTCTTCTGATCAACTTTTAAAAATGTTTTCAAGATTTAAGTCAAATTTTGAAAAAAAAAATTAGTAGTGTAGTATTTGTTTTTAAAATTTGGTTAATAATTAATGTGTTTGTTAAGAAATATGAAAAAACATTATAAAGAAAGTGTCCCCTATACCTCGCAAACTCGGTAAAACAGCTTGCCTCGGGTTGGGTAGGAGTGGGTCGAGTCCATATCAGCGCGGAGCAACAGCACCTTGCAACGAGGGTAACTCATACGTGCTTTTTCCTTTCATTTAGCGGAATTTCTTGATGAAGTTCATGCGACGACGATGTATATGGAAGGATCAAATGAGTCAAAGACTCAAACAAGGTTAAGTTGTGTACATCCTCTAACCCTAGGTTTAAGAGCTTGAAAATTAGGTTAATAACTCCTTAGATTGAACTGAAAATTAAAGAGTTTAGTGTTGTTTGAACCTCGAGTTCCATAAATAAAATTTGACTTATCTTCAGTGAAACTTGAGACTTATGAATGCAACTTGACTAAAGCTCATATACTTGTTAAGTGAAACTATAATTGATTTAATGCAACTTTTCCTTGAAAATTTATTTGCCATATATTTAACAAAATAGTTGCGGTTGTTTATCCACCTCTCATCCTAGCTTGAACATGAAAAAGCAAAATCTATCGAAGATTTTTTTGCTCTCAATATTCTCAATATTGTGATTGAATCTTGAGGCATAGTAATAGAAATTCCTTGATTAATATCAATACTTCTTATAAAGTTTTTTTAATTCTGCAACCTTCGTAAACATAGTACATATTGGAAATCTAAATTTACTTAAAACTTGCATTTATCAAATTAAAATTTGAATGTCCTAAATTCATTCATTCAAATTATTTTGATTTTTTTAATAAAATGAAAAAACTTTGTGAGGAATAAATACTTTTTTCACCACAATAAAAGCTTACTAAACCTTTTTAGTTTATATTATTATAATATTTTAAATGCTCTGCCGTGGTGATAAGTCTTTTTTAATATGTTTAATTCTGCTTTACGTGGCAGAAAAATCAATTAGATCTAATTAATTCCACCATGCTTTTCTTACCTGTGTTTATTTTTTTTAAAGGAAGAAAAAAAAATACCCTCTCTAAAAATTAAAAAAAAAAGAAGGAAAAATGAACAACTTTGGTGGTTGAACTGCCCATCTAATAGAGAAGTATTGTCATTTCTAAAATGATCAAGCAACTGTTTGCTTTGGATTTAAGTCATATGAAATGTTACACTTTAGAAGTTCATATTCTATCATCTTTCCCACTCCTATATAACTCATGCCTAAAAAGGTTTTAATAATAGATAAAAAAAACTAACTTTAATTTACAATTGGCATCACATCATCAAAATATTATACTAAATTCTAAAACTAAACTAATTAAAACTTTTTTAAAACTTGTAAACACTATTTTTACTTATGTATGGTTTTGTTTTGCGTTTGTTTTTTGAAACTGTTTTTAAAATCTAAGCTAAATTTTGAAAATTTAAAAATATCTATATAAAATAAAAAACTCTTTATTTTTTTCAGTTAGAGTCCAAATTTATTTTCAAAAAAAAAGTGAAGATATATAAACAAATTGTGGGGTTAAGTTTAAGAACCATGTAATTTTAAAAACAAATTAAAAAATAATGTAGATTTGAAAGTGATAACAAAATAGATGTAATTTAAATAAAAAAAAATTCAAAATTAAGTTAAACATCTAACTATTTTAAATGTTGGTCAAAATCAAAATCATGTATAATAGATGGAATTTGGGTGCCGACACCTCATAGATGAGATGTGTATTAAGGGATGAATCAGCAAAGAAAACTGCATACATTGTACGTGATTTCAATGGAAGTCTCATGCAATCCATTTAAAATATTTATACATATTACTAGGTAGTTTTTTTATTTATTTTACATATAAAATATTGTTTATTTTATTAGTATTTAACTATTTCATATATGATTTAAAAGTAGACTCACATGGAGATTTTCAATACATTTCATATCATAGAAGTACCAATATATTTGACACAATAATTTATATAAAAAAATATCGCATATATGTAATGACAACGTACAAATTGAAAATAAAAACAAAACTTCCAACAACAATTAGATCATAGAGACAATAAATCTATTTTAGGGTTAAAACAATAGGGTGATAGGAGTATGGAGAAGAAAATCATGCTAATTGAAATTGAGATATTTTTATAATAGAGAAATTAAAATGTTGGAGAATAAAATTAATTGAGATATTTTTATAATAATGAAATCAAAATTTAAAAAAGAAAACTTATAGAATGCTAGGACAGATCAGATGGATTTTATGAATCACAGCGAATGCATGCGATTTCTGCCAACACGTGGCTCCCACCGAAGTCACGGCCAATAACTGCGACTTACAGAAAATTGAGGTCAAGTTTCGACCTAAATCGCATCTCATGGCTACCATCTCAACTCAAATCGCAATTGAAATCTATTTTTTTAAAAAATACTATCAAACCTATATTATTTATGTCATTTTTTAATAAAAGAACATTATTTAAAAAAAATCGAGAGTGCGAACAACCAAACATAATTTTGATTTTCAAAAATAGAAAATTAGAAAACGAAATTGACATCAAAGGTCAAGAATCACACTTCCACAGGAGAGTGAGATCACTGCATGCACAGATGATCTTCTTCTCAATCTCAAGTGCCTAATTCAACTTTCTTCATACTAATTTACTTCTGTTAATTAATCACCGATCTGATTAAATATAGCAGCAGTGTCTTAATTAATTATAACCAAACCAAAATTTCAGTTTAATTAATTACTTCACCTTCCTAATTCGAAGCCAATTCTATCAGATTTCACCCAGTTTTCCATAAAATTCACACAGGGAGAGAGAGAGAGAGAGAATCAAACAAACACAAAATCGATAATCGAATACCAAAATTCCTCCAGAAACTGCCGCAAAATCACATCGAAATTAAATCAACGCCAAGAAATTAAACGAACTAGAGCAGAGTGAGTGACGATCAAAATCGATTGCACACAGACTTGAAGAATCAACGATATTGGCGAACGATCATCGACGACACCGGAGGCGGAGAGTACCTGGCGGGAACCGCGACGGTTGGCCGGAAAAGCCAGCGGGAGTAGCTGACGGCGGAGGCGGCGACGGAGATGAGATCGCTTATCAAGAGCGAAACGTCACGAAACACGAGCGAGGTTTTTCTGAGAGCCACATACATCAGTATCGGGATCGTATTCCAAAATCTTGAAGAAAACGAAGAAGAAGAAGACGACGACATTTTTTTTTTCCTTTTCAGTTTCTTTTCTTCTGAGTTCTCTCTCTCTCACGGATGTTCGAAAATCCTGCGCTTCGTCAATTACGAAGAACCTGAACCCGTTTCTAATTTACTGCTATACCCTTCTCTTTTATACCAAACTTCAACTTCTCCTGCGATATTTCTATTGGTCAACCAATGTGAATTTAGTTAAGTGGTAATTTACATCAATTTTTTACTAGTTATCGTATACAATGTTTTTCTCATCACACACGTACCTTTTTTTTCCACTCAGAGGAGAAATATAAATAAATAATTGTCAAATCTTTAGCGGTAAGTATTTTTTTTTAATAAAACAATTGGGGTGGAGGATTCGAACTCATGATCTCTTGGTCAGTCAATTGTTGCTGAGCTAAATTCATGTTGGTAGTGAATAAAGATAAGGATTGTTCTCTAGAAAAATAAGAAAAATATACCATACAAAACTTAAATACTTTGAGTATGTAGATATCATCCTACTTGTCACTTAAAAAAAGGACAACTACCTATTCTATTTAATTTCCCTTTCTTTTTTCAGCATTTACAATTTATCTATGAATATATCTAATTTCTCTATCATATACATTTGTAAAAAATTTAATGGTGCTAACTTGTTGGTAGTAAAATTTACCTTGCTCACAGAAGATTAGGGCTTTTACCGAAAGTAAAATTTATGAGTTCACAACAAATCTTGGAGGGAATCTGAACATGGAGGATAAAAATCTCCCTAGGACCATCGGCTGGACCCCCCCGGCGCAGCACCTGTGGAAACTAAACGTTGATGCTACTTGGATGGATTCGTTGCATGTCGGCGGTCTCGAGTGGGTTGTTCGTGACTCCGAAGGGCGCTTCATCATGGCAGGGTGTTTCCACCTACAAAGGAAATGGCCCATTAAAGCTTTGGAAGCCCTAGCAATCTTGGAAGGTCTCAAAGCATTGAGTCAATCCCTTACCTTAGAAGCTGGAATCAAAATTGAGGTGGAATCAGATTGTCTGGAAGTAGTGAACATCATCAATAAATCGTCCGTGGAGCTCACCGAAGTTTCTCTAATTGTTGAAGACATATGGAAAGAAGTGGAATCCTTGCCAATTGAAGGATTCAAGCATCTGCCGAGGAAGGCTAATGGAGTTGCTCATGGGATAGCAAGGAGAGCGTGCGAAGAGGGATTCTCGTCTTCGTGGAACCAGTTTTGCCCTATGTGGCTGTCTGCTGATTGTGTTTAATTTGTTTTGTTGTTCTGTTTCAAAAAAAAAAAAAAAAACCTTGTTGGTAGTTAAATTTAATAGTGTCAAATCAAACAAAGTCAGTGACACCTAATTGAGAGTGAAGACGGTGGGAGTGATCAATCTTGTATTAGGGGTAGGAGGAGTAGCTAGTGGCAAACTTCCAAGTAAATGAACATATGAATGAACTAGCATTGAGTCAAAATGAAAGAGATTCCTAAATAGTGATGGGTATATAATAATATGGTTAAAGGAAGGCTCACAAGATCATTTCTTCTTATAACTTCCTATTTTGTACTAATAGAATGCATGCTCTTTTTTTAGTGGCCCCATTTATGAGAATATCTCACTTATCTTAGCATT